ATTTTATTAATTTTCTGAACTATGGAAGAGTCTGGCGAAGTATGGAAAGCAGCTAAAATGAATTTTGACGAAATATTTTTTATTCTGTTGAATTTTTTTAATTTTTTGAAATATGGTAAGAGTCTGCCAAAGTATGGGAAGCAGCTAAAATGAATTTTGACGAAATATTTTTTATTCTGTTGAATTTTATTAATTTTTTGAAATATGGTAAGAGTCTGCCAAAGTATGGGAAGCAGCTTAATTAATATTGAAAAAATATTTTACTTTTCTATTAAATTTTATTAATTTTCTGAACTATGTGAATTGTCTGGCCAGGTATGTAAAGCAGCTAATTTAATTTTTAAAAAATATTTTAGTTTTCTGTTGAATTTTATTTAATTTCCTTAAATGAGGGAAGAGTCTGACAAACTAGTGGGAGCAGCTAAATTAGTTTTGAAAAATTCTTTTACATTATTATTAAGTTTTATTAATTTTCTGAACTATGGGAAGAGTCTGGCAAAGTATGGAAAGCAGCTAAAATTAATTTTGACGAAATTTTTTTTATTCTGTTGAATTTTATTAATTTTTTGAAATATGGTAAGAGTCTGTTAAAGTATGGGAAGCAGCTAAAATGAATTTGGACGAAATATTTTTTATTTTGTTGAATTTTATTAATTTTTTGAAATATGGTAAGAGTCTGCCAAAGTATGGGAAGCGGCTAAATTAATATTGAAAAAATATTTTACTTTTCTATTAAATTTTATTAATTTTCTGAACTATGTGAATTGTATGGCCAGGTATGTGAAGCAGCTAATTTAATTTTTAAAAAATATTTTACATTTCTATTAAATTTTAATAATTTTCTGAAATATGGGAAAAGTCTGGCAAAGTATGGAAAGCAGCTAAAATGAATTTTGACGAAATATTTTTTTATTCTGTTGAATTTTATTAATTTTTTGAAATATGGGAAGAGTCTGACAAAGTAAGGGAAGCAGCTAAATTAGTTTTCAAAAATTATTATTTTGCATTTCTATTAAATTTTATTAATTTTCTGAACTATGGGAAGAGTCTGGCAAAGTTTGGAAATAGCTAAAATGAATTTTGACGAAAGATTTCACTTTTGTGTTTAATAATTTTCTGAAACATGGGAAGAGTCTGTCAAAGTATGGAAAGCAGCTAAATTAATATTGAAAAAATATTTTACTTTTCTTTTAAATTTTATTTATTTTTTGAACTATAGGAAGAGTCTGGCAAAGTATGGGAATCAGCTAAAATAAATTGTAACGAAATATTTCAATTTTCTGTTGAATTTTATTAATTTCCTTAAATGGGGAAGAGTTTGACAAACTAGGGGAAGCAGCTAAATTAGTTTTGAAAAATTCTTTTACATTTGTCGGACTAACATTTCAATTTTTTTTGACAACTTCGAACGAGCTGTGGAAGGGATTCGTGGTTTTATTACTTGGGGTTTTTACGCGACGATAGTTTATCTTTGCTGTAAGAAGAAATCTTCGGACATTCCTTAATAAACTCTTCAGTGTTTTAATCTTTTGTAATTCTTTTACCCTTTACATTGTGAGAAACAATATTTCACCACATATTAGAAGTGGGATAAACTACCATTCCCCAAACGCGGGTGGTTTATTACGATTTTTCTCGGCAACGGAAAAAAAAGAAAAAAAAAGAAAGTGTATAGTGAAGGTGCTTGTAAATTGGAGTAGGTTTTGTGATTGAGTGACAATAGAACAAAACTACAATGGGTCGCAGCAGATCACGAGAACGTCGTCACCATAGGGGTGAGAAAAGGCGAAGGTCCGCCTCAAGTGATGCAGAATCAGTCAGGAGATACAGGGATGGAAGATCAGGTCGTGACCAGGTTCATAGTCAAGATTCCATGGGAAGGAGTTCTATGGCTGGTTCAGTAATGAGTTCCAACTCGGATTTCGCCAAATTGACCGATGTACTCACAAGTGTTGTAAGATTATCCACAAAGAAAACAGGTAACCATTTTATTAATGAACAATCTCTGCCGGAATTTGATCCAGCTGAGCAAAGTCTTACGGCATCAGGCTGGCTAGAGAAAATTAACAATTGCGGTGTTTTGTATGATTGGGATGAAAGAACAAAACTTTATTTAGCGGTCTGCAAACTTAGAGGTAACGCAAAATTGTGGTATAGCGAGTAACATGATTCGCATTTGTCTTGGTCGGTTTTCTCGCATGCTATTGTTAAACAATTTCCAGGGGATGTAAGCTTTGGTAAATTATTGGCAGATGCTGCTAATTTTAAGAGTACCGCGGGTCATGATTTACAAACTTACTGTTTTAAAAAGTTGGGAAAAATTAACGCGTTAAAATTAGAGTTGTCAGATGACCAATTAATAGATTATGTAGCACAGGGGATCCACGATGATCACATACGCACCACAGTCTTAGCGGATCGATGTAAAACACTTCATGAATTACATTCATGTCTTAGAGTGTTTAATGACACCATCAAAAAGAGCGATTCGGGCAAGAATCGAACACGCGATAACAACTCAGAAAAATTAAAAAGAAAAGACGATTAAGAAAAGGGTAATTGTTTTATTTGTCATAAATCGGGTCACGAGAGGCGCGATTGTCCTGAATCGAAACGAAAAAGGGGTGAAAATTCAAAAACGCAACCGGATTTTAGTAAACAAACGGACAAAGAAAATAAACATGAATTAAAGTGTAATTTTTGCCAAAAGTCAGGTCATTCGGAAGAGCGGTGTTATAAAAAGTCTAAAGAAAAAGGTGAAAAGAAGACGGCATGACTGGCCGGGGGGAGTCTCAAGCTGTGCATCAGGTAGAACGAGGATTTCTTAAAAATCCTACAAAGATTGTTAGAATAGGTGACAAAAGTATTGAGTGCATTCTCGATTTCGGCAGTACCTGTTCAATAATTAAGGTAGGATTAGCACAAGAATTGAGGTTAAAGTTACTGCCCACACTTGAAACCCTTGCAGCATTTAATCATGCCGTCACGACGCCAATCGCTCGAACTTTTATTGATTTAATTATTGACGATTAAACTTGGTTCAAACGACTAAATACCCTATTACGGTGGGGGATGTGATTTGCCCAGGAGTAAGTGAGGAAATTGTTAACCGATTGATTTTGCTTTTAAATGAGTTCCGTGACACTATAGCACTAAACATGGAAGAATTAGGTCAAGTAAATAGTTGCGCAATGAGTATAGAGTTGACTGTGTGTTAATTACACAGGCACACAAAAAAATAAAAAAGTCAAAACCCAGAGGTCACACCCCCCTATCCCCATGTTTTTGGGGTCGCTGAAACCGAATATGACCATGAAAAATTTTTTTCATCGGCCATTTTCCCGCTACCACCCCCTTACATCTGCTCCCGGGGGTTGGAATTTCAGTTTAAAAAAAGTCGAGTAGGGTGTCTATTCCTATGTTTTTTGGGTCGCTAAAACCAAAAAAAACTACACGGAAAAAATCTTGGGTGACGTGCCGTTCCAAGTAGACCGAAAATGTACGAATGCGATACGACTTTAGTTTGGAGGAGCTGCATTTCCAACTTGGGCGTGCTGAACGCCCAAGATGCGGCTATTGCAGTCCCAAGGTTTTGAGTCTCAAATCTTGGGTGTTCAGCGCCACCAACATGGGAACGTAGATTTCCCGAATTGAGAACGTAGCACATCCAAACTATAGTTCCCCCACTTTCCGACGATTGGGATTACACGTCACCCAAGATTTTTTCCGTGTACCAAAAACAAATTCTTCCCTCCCTTAACCCCCTACAACCCCCTTAACACCCGATAGGTGGGGGGTCGAAATTCGAATTTTCACGAAAAGTCGATTACGGTGTCTAAACCTACGTTTTTTGGGTCGCTGAAACCAAAAAAGACTACCAAAATCAAATCCTTTCCACCCTCGACCCCCTACAACCCCCTGCAATAATTTTTGACAATTAATATTTAATTTTCAATTTCCCAAAAATCAGTTCGTTTTATTTGAAAAAATTATTGCAGGGGGTTGTAGGGGGTCGGAGGTGGAAAGGATTTGATTTTTGCAGTCTTTTTTGGTTTCGGCGACCCAAAAAACGTAGGTTTAGACACCGTAATCGACTTTTCGTGAAAATTCAAATTTTGACCCCCCACCTTTCGGGTGTTAAGGGGGTTGTAGGGGGTTAAGGGAGAGAAGAATTTGTTTTTGGTAGTCTTTTTTGGTTTTAGTGACCCAAAAAACATAGGAATAGACACCCTACTCCACTTTTTTAAAACTGAAATTCCAACCCCCGGGAGCAGATGTAAGGGGGTGGTAGCGGGAAAATGGACGATGAAAAAAATTTTTCATGGTCATTTTCGGTTTCAGCGACCCCAAAAACATGGGGATAGGGGGGTGTGACCTCTGGGTTTTGACTTTTTTATTTTTTTGTGTGCCTGTGTTATCGAGGGGTCAATAAAAAGACCAAAACTGATCCACACCCTCTTCCTCGTATTGAAGATCACATTGATCAGACCTGTTTTGTCTATTTACGATCCTTCACTCGAAACTGAATTGCACACAGATGCTAGCTCCATCGGGTTAGGGGCTGTGCTCATTAAAAAAAAAGTACGATTTAGAAACTCTTGATGTTTATGAGGCACTTAAAGCATTCAGGGTTTATTTGTTAGGAATTAAATTTGTCGTTGTAACAGATTGTACGGCTGTACAAGCTACGGCTACAAAAAAGGACATACAACCGAGGGTTGCAAGATGGTGGGTCTATATGCAGGATTTCGACTTTGACATTGTTTACAGGCCGGGCATTCAGGGCGCACATGTTGACTATTTGAGTCGAAATCCTGTACAATGCTTGCACATTGATGTTACCGATAGTGAATGGATAAAAGTTGAATTGATTAAAAGTAAAGTCTGATACTAAACAATATTTCGATGTGTATGATTTAAGAGCGGGAGTAGTTTTTAGGCGTACTGAAAACGGAAACAAGTGGGTGGTACCGCGAAACTCGCGTTTTAACATCGTCAAAATGTGTCACGATGAACAGGGACACTTCGGTTTAGAAAAAACGCTAAGAAAAAGTCAAAGAGAATTACTGGTTCAAGGGAATGCGAAGGTTCGTTACCAAATACGTAAAATTATGCTTAAATTGTCTCTATTATAAACAGTCCTCGGGACGTAAACCTGGGTTCTTGCACCCGATAGAAAAAATTTCGATTCCTTTTCATACAATTCACATTGATCATGTTGGGCCGTTTGTTAAAAGTAAAAGATAGAATACACAACTGTTAAACATCGTGGATGGTTTTACAAAATTTTGTGTAATCGAGCCAGTCAGAAACACAAAAACAAAATGGGTAATACGATCCCTGGAACAAATCTTCACACTTTTTGGTGTTCCATCGAGAATAATAAGTGATAGGGGAACCTGTTTTACATCCCTACGATTCGCAAAATTCTGTCAGGAATATGGGATAAAACATGTACTAAACGCCACAGCCACGCCTCGAGCAAATGGGCAGGTAGAGAGGGTAAATTCGACAGTGGTAAGTGCCCTCGCAGCTTCCGGCGCGGGAGCGGAGGAAGACGACTGGGACCTTTTTGCGAAAAAGGTTCAGAGCGGAATTAATAATACTCCAAACAGGACCACTCGACAATGTCCATCTCAATTGCTATATGGGTTCAAGCCAAGGAGCACTGCAGGTGCGTCTTTGTTGGCCGCTACACAGGACACATTGGATGCTGTTGATTTGACTGAACTTCGACGTAGAGCAGGGGTGACTACTGATGATGAGCAAGAGCGCCAGAAAGCCAAATTTGACTCTAAAAGGTTTAAAGCTCCCAGGTATGCGGTGCACGACATTGTTATGGTTACTACAGAACAACCTGCGACTGGGACAGGTGGGGAGCTGTTAGCCAAAGCAAAGGGACCATTCGAGGTTGCGGCTTTTTTGCCAAACAATCGATGCGAAGTCGAGGACCTGAGGGAAATGAAGAAGGGAAGGGGAAGGTGAAGCGTTGTTGCTGTCGATAGCATGAGCAGGTGGATCGCCTTCGGTGCTCTGGACTAAAAGGAGAAGCTGCAAGGGGTAAGGATAATTAAATAATAATCAAGGTCCTTGAGTTTGTTTTAGTTTCCGGATATATACTTTGCACCTGAGGTGGTGTCAGAACTTGATTGAGAGCTTGCCACGAGATAATGAATCTGAAGCTAGTTCTAGTATCTTGTCAAAGGCTAAACAATAAGACGGCGAGTGACGAAATAGAGCGACAGCATGGCTGGAGCTAGTCACGGGCCGGAAATGAGATAGCTAGAGACCCACGGGATCTACGTTGTTTAATGCGTATGCTTATTGGGAATGTGATCTATGCTATTCCTGGTTGGTCTATGCAGGCATCCACAAGTGATATATTCGCAGTGGAGTAAAGCCCTGGTAGACCCTAGATAGAACCTAGCCAGGCATCCACAAGAGAGTTTTGTGTAATTACTTGTGGGATAAGGCCCTGCAAAAGTCTATCTTCCCTTTCACCTGCCATTTTCTTAGAAATCAATGCTTGGTTTATTTTGATTTGACGACAGAGAAGAATGCCCACTTCGTTTAGTCATTGTAATTGATCCGAGAATTGTTTTCTGTCCAAATCTCCGATATAGTGAGAGAATTCGAACACATCCTTTAAAATCAAATTTTGTTTGTTACAGTAAAGGGGAGAGGTGGTCATTGACGCCAACAATGGTCAGGAAAGGCCGTTGTCGGACTAACATTCTAATTTTTTTGACAACTCCGAACGAGCTGTGGAAGGGATTCGTGGTTGTATGACTTTGGGTTTTTACGCGACGAAAGGACCAGCCAAGAACCCTCAGAAAAAAGCATGGTAAACGCGTCCCCTCTGCGGGAAATCGGCACGAGAAAGCGTCGAACCTTTGACGAGGCAAAACCGTTTAACTCTCGCGAAAGAATGCTTTTTATGATAATTGTCATCGATTCATATAGATAGTTTATCTTTGCTGTAAGAAGAAATCTTCGGACATTCCTTAATAAACTCTTCAGTGTTTTAATCTTTTGTAATTCTTTTACCCTTAACATTGTGAGAAACAATATTTCACCACACATTTCTATTAAATTTAATTAATTTTCTGAACCATGGAAAGAGTCTGGCAAAGTATGGAAATAGCTAAAATGAATTTTGACGAAAGATTTCAATTTTGTGATTAATAATTTTCCAAAACATGAAAAGAGTCTGCTAAAGTATGGAAGCAGCTTAATTAATACTGAAAAAATATTTTACTTTTTTATTAAATTTTATTAATTTTCTGAACTATGGGAAGAGTCTGGCAAAGTATATAAAGCAGCTAAATTAATTTTTAAAAAATATTTTACATTTCTATTAAATTGTATTAATTTTTTAAACTATAGAAAGAGTCTGGCAAAGTATGTAAAGCAGCTAAAATGAATTTTAACGAAATATTTTTTATTCTGTTGAATTTTATTAATTTTTTGAAATACAGGAAGAGTCTGGCAAAGTATGGGAAGCAGCTAAATTAGTTATGACAAAATATTTAACTTTTGTGTTTAATTTTATTGATCTTTCGAAACATGGGAAGAGTCTAGCAAAGTATGGGAAGCAGCTAAAATGAATTTTCACGAAAATTTTCACTTTTCTGTTGAATTTTATTAATTTTTTTAAATGGGAGAAGAGTCTGGCAAAGTATGGGAAGCAGCTAAAATGAATTTTCACGAAATATTTCACTTTTCTGTTGAATTTTATTAATTTCCTTAAATGGAAGAAGAGTCTGTAAAAGTATGGGAAGCAGCTAAATTAGATTTGACAAAATATTTAACTTTTGTGTTTAATTTTATTGATTTTTCGAAACATGGGAAGAGTCTGGCAATGTATGGGAAGCAGCTAAAATGAATTTTAAAAAAAATTTCACTTTTCTGTTGAATTTTATTATTTTCCTTAAATGGGGGAAGAGTCTGACAAACTAGTGGAAGCAGCTTAATTACTTTTGAAAAATTCTTTTACATTTCTATTAAATTTTATCAATTCTCTGAACTATGGGAAGAATCTGGCAAAGTATGGGAAGCAGCTAAAATGAATTTTGACGAAATATTTTTTATTCTGTTGAATTTTATTAATTTTTTGAAATATAGGAAGAGTCTGGAAAAGTATGGGAAGCAGCTAAAATGAATTTTAAAAAAAATTTCACTTTTCTGTTGAATTTTATTAACTTTTTGAAATACAGAAAGAGTCTGGCAAAGTATGGGAAGCAGCTATATTAGTTTTGACAAAATATTTAACTTTTATGTTTAACTTTATTGATTTTTTAAAACATAGGAAGAGTCTGGCAAAATATGGGAAGCAGATAAATTAGGTTTGACAAAATAATAACTTTTGTGTTTAATTTTATTGATTTTTCGAAACATGGGAAGAGTCTGGCAAAGTATGGGAAGCAGCTAAAATGAATTTTCACGAAATATTTCACTTTTCTGTTGAATTTTATTAATTTCCTTAAATGGGAGAAGAGTCTGGCAAAGTATGGAAAGCAGCTAAATTAGTTTTGACAAAATATTTAACTTTTGTGTTTAATTTTATTTATTTTTCGAAACATGGGAAGAGTCTGGCAAATTATAGGAAGCAGATAAAATGAATTTTGACGAAATTTTTCACTTTTCTGTTAAATTACATTAATTTCCTTAAAAGGGGGAAGAGTCTGACAAACTAGGGGAAACAGCTAAATTAGTTTTGACAAAATATTTAACTTTTGTGTTTAATTTTATTGATTTTTCGAAACATGAAAAGAGTCTGGCCAAGTATGGGAAGCAGCTAAAATAAATTTTGACGAAAGATTTCACTTTTGTGTTTATTAATTTTTTAAAATATGGGAAGAGTCTAACAAAGTATAGGAAGCTGCGAAAATGAATTTTGACTAAATATTTCTTATTCTGTTGAATTTTATTAATGTTTTTAAATATGGGAAGAGTCTGCCAAAGTATAGGAAGCAGCTAAATTAATATTGAAAAAATATTTTACTATTCTATAAAAATTTATTAATTTTCAGATCTATGGGAAGAGTCTGGCAAGGTATGTGAAGCAGCTAATTTAATTTTTAAAAAATATTTTACATTTCTATCAAATTTAATTAATTTTCTGAACTATGGGAGAGTCTGGCAAAGTATGGAAAGCTGCTAAAATGAATTTTGACGAAATATTTTTGATTCTGTTTAAATTTTATTAATTTTATGAAATATGGGAAGAATCTGGCAAAGTATGGGAAGCAGCTAAATTAGTTTTGAAAAATTCTTTTACATTTCTAATAAATTTTACTTATTTTCTGAACTATGGAAAGAGTCTAGCAAAGTATGTAAAGCAGCTAAATTAATTTTTAAAAAATATTTTACATTTCTATTAAATTTTATTTATTTTCTGAACTATGGGAAGAGTCTGGCAAAGTATGGGAAGCAGCTAAAATGAATTTTAATGAAATATTTTTTATTCTGTTGAATTTTAATAATTTTTTGAAATATGGGAAGAGTCTGGAATTGTATGGGAAGCAGCTAAAATGAATTTTTAAAAAATATTTCCCTTTTTTGTTGAATTTTATTAATTTCCTTAATTGGGGGAAGAGTCTGGTAAAGTATGGAAAGCACCTAAAACGAATTTTTACGAAATATTTCACATTTCTGTTGAATTTTATTAATTTCTTTAAATGGGGGAAGAGTCTGGCAAAGTATTGAAAGCAGCTTAATTAGTTTTAAAAAATTCTTTCACTTTTCTATTAAATTTTATTAATTTTTTGATCTATGGGAAGAATCTGGCAAAGTATGGGAAGCAGCTAAAATGAATTTTGACGAAAGATTTCACTTTTGTGTTTATTAATTTTTTAAAACATGCGAAGAGTCTGGCAAAGTATAGGAAGCTGCGAAAATGAATTTTGACTAAATATTTTTTATTCTGTTGAATTTTATTAATTTTTTGAAATATGGGAAGAGTCTAGCAAAGTATGGGAAGCAGCTAAATTAGTTTTGACAAAATATTTAACTATTGTGTTTAATTTTATTGATTTTTTGAAACATGGGAAGAATCTGGCAAAGTATGGGAAGCAACTAAAATGAATTTTGACGAAATATTTTTTATTCTGTTGAATTTTATTAATTTTTTGAAATATAGGAAGAGTCTGGCAAAGTTTGGAAAGCATCTAAAATGAATTTAGACAAAATATTTTTTATTCTGTTGAATTTAATTAATTTTTTGATATATGTGAAGAGTCTGGAAAAATATGGAAAGCAGCTAAATTGAATTTTGACGAAATATTTCGAGTTTTTAGTACCGGCTGCCACCGCTAGATGGCGCTATTTTATTTTTTGTTCAATTTAAACCCTTTGGTGGGGTATTTAAATTTTTATTTTCATATTTTCAAGTGGGTTAGGGGGGGGTGTTCTGTTTTACTGACATCTGGCTGCCACCGAGAGATGGCGCCACCGTTAAATTAAAACCCCTTGGCGGGATATTTAAATTCATATTTTGAAATTTCAAGTCGCTTGGTGGGGTATTTTGAATTTTCCACTTAATTTACTGACATTTTTATTTTTGGCTGTCAGTGCTAGATGGCGCCACCGTTAAATTCTAAACCCTTTGGCGGTATATTTAAATTTTTATTTCCCAATTTTAAATCCCTTGGTATTTTTAAATTTCCCGCTAAAATTACCGACCGAGTTTAATTAGAGGTTGCCTTCGAAAGATGGCGCCATTGTGTTCTACCATACTTATCATACTTACCTAAAGTTACCCTATAATCGGCGCTCACTGCATTAGGCATGCGGTAGGAGTGGAGTCGCGAGTGCGACTGAGGAGTAGCGGGCCTCATCGTAGTGGTCTGTGGAGTGTGGTAGGAAGTAGCGCGCGACTTTGGAGCAGTGGGGCGCACGGCAGTGGGGTGATGCGCGCGACGCTCGAGTAGTGGGGCGTATTATCAGTTTATTTTCAGGTTTTTTTTTAGATTTAGCATTTAAGATGCCAAAGTGCAGACCACCAAAAAAGTCTCGAGAACGAATCCTCATCGATGAGTTTAACGAAGTTTGTCAGGAGTCTGACAATTTTATTAAATGCGCAGAATGTAAACTCATCAATGTAATGTCAATGACTGGTGATGAAAAATTGATTGCTGCCTGTGAATGGCAAAACAAATGTCAAAGATTTATGAACATTTTCAGGAAATTTTTGCATAACTCTGATTTCTCTTCATCCCAAAGATCTAGGTGCCTAAATTTAAGTCAAAAATTAGAATACTTGCGTTGCCATTTTGATTTGTCAATGAAACACGGTGCGGGTGTGCAAGTATCGAATGATAGAATGAAATGGGTTGATATTGAAGCAGCATTTCATGAACGGTTGCAAACTAGTGCTATTATAAATTTAGATTACAAGGACATTAATGAGTTCCTTGATGATGCCTTTGCTTTGTTTAAAATTAATATTCAAAAAGCTTTAAACCGTTTTGGTCCGTTGAAAGTGTATACCGTTTTGGGGGGAAAATTTGTAAAAGATTCGATTGATGGTAAACAAGAAATGTCTGATCATAAGACATTTATCCCGAAAACGGCTGAAATTTTTTTAACAACCCCGTTAGACGACTGGTACAATATTAATGTTAAACAAATAACTTTGAAAAGAATTGCAGAATTCCAAGAAAAAGATTCTAATTGGAAACTTCATTCTATTGAAAGGTTAACAGTTAACATTAACAGTTACAACCCTATGAGTGCAAGTTCTTATATTAATTTACCAGCTGTCATTAATTTAAAACATGCATGCGTGAATGTACAAAATGCTGATCAACAATGTTTTAAATGGCCAGTTTTGTCTGCTCTTTATCCAATTGTAAACCATGCACATCGAGTTTCTAAGTATGAGATGTATAAAGATGAACTTAATTTTACAGGAATTAATTTCCCTGTTTCACTTACAGATGTTCCAAAATATGAATCTCTAAAACAAAATATTTCAGTAAACGTATACGGACTCTCAAAAAATGATAAAAAATTCAATGTTTACCCATTACATCTGACATCACAGAAAAAACAGCATCATATTAATCTCTTACGTGTTGAAGACCATTATATTGATGAAAGCCTAAGTGAAGAAGAAGACGATCTTACAATCCTTTCTTTTAACTACCACTATGTTTGGATCAAAGACTTATCCAAGCTCGTTGGATCCCAATTGTCAAAGCATAGGTCTAAAAAATACATTTGCGATCGTTGCCTCCATTATTTTGGAAGTGATTTGATGCTTACCGAACACGAAGAAAATTGTAGGAAGATGAATGATACCAGAATTAGGCTGCCGAATCCTGGGAAAAATTTTGTCGAGTTTACAAAATTTGATAACAAGGAGTGCGTACCTTTTATCATTTACGCGGATTGTGAGAGTCTTTTAATTCCTGCAGATTCACCTCAAGAAGAATCCAATACTGTCGTGATTCAAAATCATAAAACACTCAGTATTGGATTTTATGTAAAATGCGGCTTTGATGACTCTTTGTCTATATACAAAGCATCTCCTCGAGATGAGGAAGATCCTGCTAAATGGTTTTCAAAAGAGCTTAAAGACTTGGCTGACAATTTAGACATTAGATTTCAGAATCCTGTACCTATGGAAGTATTAAGTTTACAACAGCTGACTGATTTTAGATATGCAAGTACATGTCATATTTGTAAAAAGAAATTTGCTCATAGTGATATAAAAGTACGAGACCATTGTCATCTAACAGGGAAGTATCGGGGCCCTGCACATCAAGATTGTAATACTAATTATCATGAATCGTCGACCATACCTGTTGTATTTCATAACCTTAGTGGTTACGATGCTCATTTTATCATCAAAGCTATTGCTACCGAGTTTGACGGTAAAGTTGATCTTCTTTCCATTAATAAAGAAAAGTACATCAGTTTTACAAAGAATATAAAGGGTAGTTCAATCAAATTTCGTTTTATCGACTCTTTTAAGTTTATGGCATCATCATTGGACAAGTTAGCTTCCTATCTCGATGAATATAAAATTATAAATTTCGTATTTTCAAATTACAGCGACGACAAAATTAAATTGTTAACGAGAAAAGGAGTTTTTCCTTATGAATACATTGACTCTAGGGAAAAGCTCGACGAAACAGAATTACCACCTAAAGAAAAATTTTACAGCACTTTGAACGACTCAAATGTTTCAGATGAAGATTACGCACATGCGCAGAAAGTGTGGAGTAAGTTTAATTGTCAGAATCTAGGTGATTATGTGTTCTTGTACATGAAAACGGATATTTTGTTACTTGCGGACATTTTTGAAAATTTCAGGGATCAGTGTTTATTAGCATACGGTTTAGATGCAGCACACTTTTATACTACACCGGGTTTGACTTGGGACGCAATGTTAAAGTATACGAATATAAGATTGGAACTCCTCACAGACATCGACATGGTAATGTTTATTGAACGCGGGATAAGAGGTGGGATTAGTCAGTGCACTAATCGTTACGCTAAAGCAAATAATCACTACATGGAAAAATATGATGAGAATGAGGAAAAATCTTATATCGTATACTTTGACGCAAACAACTTGTACGGTTGGGCAATGATTCAATCACTTCCGTATGGTGGCTTCGGGTGGGTTGAAAATATTGACAATGATTTTGATTTTAATATTTCAGATGATGGACCAATTGGGTACATCTTGGAAGTTGACCTGGACTATCCAGATCATCTTCATGATAAACATAGCGACTTTCCGTTTTGCCCTGAACGCTCGAAGCCACCAGGGTCCAAAGAGCAGAAGCTCCTAACTACCCTCCTACCGAAACGAAAGCACGTTCTCCATTATCGCGCTTTAAAACAAGCTATTGACAACGGTTTAGTTTTAGTTAAAATCCATCGCGTCTTAAAATTCAAGCAATCTACTTGGCTAAAGAGTTATATTGACTTTAATACCTTGCAGAGAACAAATGCTAGTAACGAATTCGAGAAAAACTTATTCAAACTAATGAATAACGCGGTATTTGGCAAAACAATGGAGAACGTGCGAAAACATGTAGATGTTAAACTCGTGACAAAGTGGAAGGGTAGATATGGAGCTGAAGCCTTAATTTCCAAACCTAATTTCCACAGCAGAGCCATTTTTAATGAAAATTTGGTTGCTGTGGAACTTAGGAAAATGGAAGTTTTGATGAACAAACCCCTGTATGTTGGCTTGACTGTTTTGGATGTGTCAAAAACATTAATTTACGACTTCCACTATGATTATATGTTGCAAAAGTATGATGAAAAAAAATTAAAATTATTGTACACCGACACCGATAGCCTGATTTATGAAATAAAGTGCTCCGACATTTACGCCGATATGAAACAAGATATTCATAAATTCGACACTTCTGATTACGCAGCAAATAATGTTTACGGTATTCCGCAAGCCAAAAAAAAATATTAGGTCTAATGAAGGATGAATGCTGTGGAAAAATTGTGACTGAATTTGTTGGTTTGCGGAGCAAAATGTATAGTGTGCGAGTTGAAGGGAAAGATATCATAAAAAAAGCTAAAGGTGTAAAAGCAGGAGTTGTTAAGAAAAATATCGATTTTGATGATTATGTTTATTGTCTGCGAAATGTTAAAATTCAATCCAGGACGCAATATTGTATTCAGTCAAAACTGCATAATGTACAAACATTAAAAAAACGAAAATTGCCCTCAGTCCTTATGACGAAAAGAGGTATCTTTTAGAAAACAGGGGTGCTATTCTGTAACTTCACTTCACATTCACTTCACTTTCACTTCACATTCACTTCACATTCACTTCACTTTCACTTCACTTTCACTTCACATTCACTTCACATTCACTTCACATTCACTTCACATTCACTTCACATTCACTTCACATTCACTTCACTTTCACTCCACATTCACTTCGCATTCACTTCACTTTCACTTCACATTGAAAGTGAAAAGTGAAGTGAATGTGGAGTGAATGTGATGTGAATGTGAAGTGAATGTGAAGTGAATGTGAAGTGAATGTGGAGTGAATGTGAAGTGAATGTGAAGTGAATGTGAAGTGAATGTGAAGTGAATGTGAAGTGAATGTGAAGTGAATGTGAAGTGAATGTGAAGTGAAGTTACAGAATAGCACCCCAGCACCGTCACCCTTGCATGGGGATACTGTAAAATTCTAGAAATCGACGATGATGAACCAATGTAAATAGAAAAAAAAATTATTTGTTACAGAGAGGAGGATATGGTTGTTTGAATAAAAGACGTTCACTTTATTTTATGTCTACTTTATTTTAAAAAAAACCTTAATCTACTTACATTAACTTGTTATAACTTTAAACTATATTTTAATTTATTTTAACTTTACTTTAACTTATTTTAACTTATTTTAACTTTTTTTAACTTTACTTTAACTTATTTTAACTTTTTTTTAACTTTATCTTAACTTATTTTAACTTATTTTAACTTTACTTTAACGTTACTTAAACATTAGTTTAACGTTACTTTAACTATATTACATATCAGATTTTTTTATCCAACTATTGTGTGAGCTATCGAATCCAAGCCATTTCACGTATACATCATTACTACGAGTCTTAAGAACTTTTTCTACGAGGTAGACATCTGGATATTGGACTTTCAGTAATTCTTCTTCATAGAAACCACCTTCGATGGGTTGATTTTGATAATCTTTCAGCTTGTATGTAACTGGTTTTGTCGATTTAACTTTTTCCACAGTGAATATTTCCGTTGTCCAGTTGGGAGTATATCATTTTTCACAGATATTTTTAAATTTGCTAACTCGAACTCTGTCTCCAACTTTGAATTTTGATCTTTTCAGCGGAATTCTACGTAGTTTACGGATACGTCTCAGCAGTTCTCTTGTATCTTCTACGGTAACATCTTTGGGTTTCATACCAGTAGTACAATGCTTTTTATTATTGTACTTTGACATGAGAGTTGGTAAAAGATTAATCCATTTATAATTGCCTTGCAAGCTGAATTCAGGCCACATCATATTTTTTAGAGTGCGATTAAATCTTTCAACAATTGAGGCTTTCAAATTACTATAGGTAGAATAGAGATTAATGTTAAATTTTTGCATTAAACTCTTAAATTCAGAATTGTAAAATTCTTTGCCTCTATCAGTATGCAAATTTTTTGGAATTCGGCCTTGTTATAGAATAGTTTTTATGGCTAGAGAAATATCCTTTCCATTCTTACTCTTTCCAGCTACAGCCCAGGCATATTTGGAAAATATGTCTATAACTGTGAGCATGTATTTGAAACCTTTATTAGAATAAGAATAAGGTATCATTTCAACCAAATCTGCTTGCCAGGTTTCATCGATGCCACGCATTTGAACTTTTCGACGAGGATAATTTTTTCTAGCTTGTTTATGCAGTTCAGTTACAACTGTTAATTTTTGATCAGCCATCACTGTTGAATAAATTTAGCCTCTTTGATGATATAATTTTGCTGTGATTTAATTTCACTAAGTTTTTCGTTTACTCTATCCTCGATAATTCGGATATAAAGATTCAAATCATCAATAGCTGATCTTAAAGAAGATGTAATTTGAAAAACTGTTTTTATCTCGTTTTTAATAATTTTCTGTGCAAGTCTTAAATTTACAGCGTCTCGTTGCTCTTCAGCGTCTTGAACGTTGCAAAGTCTTTTGTTATCAATGTCGTATTGTTCACTTGGAGTAATTTTAAATCCAATTCCAGAAGGTCTAGGAAGTCCACGACTTGCAAGAGGCCGTGACAAGGGATGTCCAAACACATCAATGCTCATTTTAATACTAAGCTCTATTTGCTTGTACTCTCCTAATATATAATGTGAGCTTCACGTAGTTCTTCGATGATTGACATAATTTCATTATTATGGCTTGGATTACCAGCTTGCTGTGATGCTACTAGCAGACGTAAACGGTCAACTAGTTCATTGGGATCATCCCAATAGATGTAGTCTGGGTTAAATTGTTTCTTTGAAATCATAAATTGAGGTAATTTCTTTCCAAGCTTCTTCTTCTTCAAAACACCACTACCCTTTTTTGGCGTACCCTTAAAAAGTTTTGAAATGACAACAGTGTATTTAGAACTCCTGGTTACGTTGACAAGTCCACTGGAACTATAATTTTTTCGGTGTGCATTTGTAGCTACAAGAATTTCTTTATAATTTTCCGAATCATCTGAACTTATTAATGCATGATTAGGTTCTTGTCGAAATAAAAGTTCAAGCAACCCAGCAGTTTTTAAATATTTTTTCTTTCCAGAAAGTTGAATATGTGAATCTTCTAAATCAACTGGTGTATCACCAATAATAAAAGAACCATTAGGAAGCTTACGTACTCCATAAACCATGTCTAAAAAACTTTTTCTTTTTTTATTCAATAATTGAATAAATTTATTTGTCAAATTTTCAAAATTAAGTTCTTCTCCTTCTTCTTCAAACTTGTTGCTCTTATCAAATAGACTGTCATTGAGTAGTGTTTTATCAAATTCCTCTTCCTCATCAACAGCAGTTTTCCTCCTTTTTAACTTTTTCTTTCTTAATATTTTTGAAAGGTATGTCAGTTATGTTCACCAACTTTTCCAGAGGTGTTACTATTGGTTGAAAAGTTTCTTTCAATACTGTTTCTGCAGCCTCTTTACCCATTTTGAGTAAACGATGTTTCCGCCTAATAGCATCACTTGCTTTTGCTATTTGACGAAGCGTTTCTTGTTCTTTTCGATACATGTTTTCTTCGAGACAATATAAACTATACTAATTAAAAATTCAATGAACTTCTTGTATTTATAGTGAAATGAAGCAATCAAATCCTCTTCTATATCTTCCTTCATTAAAATTACGGTCCTTATCAATAACAACAAATCCATATTTGTCAGATTTCCAACATTCTGAACATAAATCGCGAAATTGAGTATAACTCATATCTGTATTAACATGATCTTCGTATACATGTTTCAGATTCTTTTCATCTTGTCTAAATAGAACCAATAAATTAACATTATCTCGAACTAGATGTTTAGGAATACGAGCATACGTTTGACATAAATAGAAACTGTCAACATTTACATTTACACTTTTCACAAGCAATGTCATCAAAAACGAATATTGAATTTGCTTTAGCATCTTTTGGAGATACTACTTCTTCATGTTCACTAAATGGAAAATACTCAACACCATTTACCTGACTGATTACATTTTCTAAAAGTTTATATTTCGGTTGCTGTAGAGATTTAGAGTAGAGGTAAATATTTTCAAAACTTAGACCATTTGGATGTATTATTAGGGAAAGAAGAGCATTTGTTTTACCACAATTTGAGGGGCCACAGAAAACTGCTCGAATGCTGTCTGAAAACAGACTTCCGTGACGTTTAATCTTTTTTTCATTAGTTTCAACATCTATACTAGAGATTGGCAGTGCGACAGGTTGTTTCGTGAACTGCATCTTGACAGTAACTGCCCTAAAAGCTATAAATACCTAGCTTTTATAGTCAATTTTGTCAGTTTCACGTCAACCATTGTAGAGTGAAGTATGATTCTGCATCAGGAGGTGAAAAAAGGTCGCTATCAAGGAAAAGGTTTAATCAATCGTATCATCAATAGTTTACCGTTTGAGTTACATTTATCAGGATACCAATTCTGTGGGGTTGGTACAAAGTTGGCAAAGCGTTTGTCTCGAGGTGATCAGGGAATTAATCCACTGGACGCTGCATGTAAACAACACGACATTCTGGTGTAAGTGAAAGAGCAGCTGCTTTAGCTATATCCGGAACCATGAAAGCTAAATCAAAGTTAGGCATGGGAATGAGAAGAAGAAGAAAATCATCTATAAAGAAGAAGAAGAGTAAAAAAATGTGTAAAAATAAACGAGTAGCGCTAAGAGAAATTGTTGATGCTGCACGAAAAAGTATGGCAGTGTAAATCCAAAGTTTTATCACCTAGAATTCTTTCTGTACCTACTAAAGTAGGTGGAATTTTACCGCTAGTTCCAATTTTTGCTGGACTTAGTGCTTTAGGAGCACTTGCTGGAGGTGCTTCAGGAATAGCAAGGGCTGTTAATAAGGCTAAAACAGCTAGTGAACAGCTTGCAGAAGCTCAACGTCACAATAGATCCATGGAAGCCATATCGCTTGGAAAGGGATTACACCTTAAACCTTATCGACAAGGACTTGGTCTCCACTTGAAACCCTACATTCAAGGAAAAGGAATTAAAAAACGAGCATCAAGAAAAAAGAAGAAGAAGAAACGAGCATCAAGAAAAAAGAGAACAACAAGAAGGAAAACAAAAAACTTGTTTTGAAGCTACCTCACCGTTTACTCACTGATTTTGATCTGTTGAAGTATGCCAAACGTGCCAAAATACCTCATTTTCGTGGTATTTTTATGCGAAATGAACTACTTGTTGGTGGTCCTCACCAGTGTGAATCAGGAATAATTAATCTTGATAATAAAGAAGGTGCTGGAACACATTGGGTAGCATATAAAAAATTCAAAAACTAAACAATGTATTTTGATAGTTTTGGCAACCTTGCTCCACCAACAGATCTTGTCATTTACTTGGGTGATGGTAGCTTAATAAAATATAATCATAAAAGATATCAAAATTATGATACATTTGTATGTGGACACTTGTGTCTCAAATTTTTGTGTAATCAACTAAATATTAAGAGTTGTTTTAACCTTTATAAAAGTGTGTAACTATTGTAAGCTTTCAGTATACAATCTGACAGCAACATGAGTGATTCGTTTACTTTAACGTTAACAGGAAATTCTTCGGTTCTGGGAGCTGAATATTTCCCTCCAATAGAACTAAATTCAAATAAAAGTTATGTACTTGGTCTTGTTGAACTATTGACTTTTAATTCAATTCCCAATATTAATAAAGGAAATAACAAGTTTTACGTTGGAAATCAAGTAATTGATATTCCAACTGGAAGTTATGAAATTAAAGATATTGAATCATATTTACAAAATTCTGTAAAAACTGGAACTGTTATTAGTATAAAACCTAATAATAATACATTACGCAGTATTGTTGAATCTAATTTACCAATTGATTTTAAACCTAAAGATTCTATTGGTAAGTTGTTAAGATTTACATCGCAGAAACTGTCATCTCATAAAGCACATATTTCTGATTTACCTGTAGCCATTTTAAAGGTTAATTCAGTTAGAATTGAGTGTAATATCACATCTGGAGCGTATATAAATAACCAAAAAGTTCACACTATCCATGAATTCTTCCCCAGCGTTCCACCAGGATATAAGATCGTGGAAGTGTCTGCACACGTCATTTACCTTCCGATTGCCACCAAGACAATACATAATATACAGCTGCGAATTGGTGATCAGGACGGTGATTTAATAAATTTTAGAGGAGAAACTATAACAATTCGACTGCATATAAAGTCTTTGTAATGGGAATCGTTTATAATCAAAGAGCTGTTGTTGGTGGAAACTATAAAAGTCAGACAATATGCAAGAGTCAGATCAGTCTAAATTTATTTCACAAGGTGTTAACACCTCAGAATCACCTCTTCCTGCAAGAACTAGGTCTAAAAGTTCAAGGAAAGAAAATAAGACAACAAGACAATTAATCTACATATTTTTTGGTTGCTGTTGCAATAAAAATGGACGAACTTCTCAATATTCCAGCAGCAGTGAATTTCGATGAGTCAATAGCTCATTATGAAATTCATGCTCATCAACCATACTCATCTTCATCTTTTAACAATAGCGATGAAATTCGAATCGCAGTACAACATCAAGACTTGTGCATTTTACCTAGTAAAAGTTCGTCACACATTTTTGGTAGATTAACTAAAAATGATGGAATTACTCTTACACAAAACGTACATTTAAGTAATAATGCTGTACGTTTTTTGTTTGATGAAATTCGCTATGAACTAAATGGTATTGAAATTGATCGCTGCAAATACGTTGGACATACTACAATCATGAAAAATTACACCTCGCAAACATCAAATCAGCTAAATTTTATTGAAAATGCTGGATATTCCAAAATTGCAGCGGATGCAAGACTTACTTTGGAAAATGGTTATTTTGATGTCACAATACCACTCAGCATGATTTTTGGTTTTGCTGAAGATTATAAAAAAATCATTATGAACGCTAAACATGAACTTATTTTAACAAGAGCACGTTCTGACGTGAATGCTGTAATTCAAACAGGACAAGGAGGGGATGAGGAATTTAAAATTTCTATCAATAAACTTGAATGGATGGTTCCATACGTTTTACCTTCTGACAATAACAAAGTTAAATTGTTAAAATATATTGAAAAGGATCCATTAATTTCAATAAGTTTTAGGTCGTGGGAAATGTATGAGTATCCTTTAATTCCTACAAGTTTAAAAGTTTTGTGTCAAATTAAAACATCAACGCAATTAGAGAAACCTCGTTATGTTATTGTTGGATTTCAAACAGCAAGAAAAGATAAACGAAAAAAATATGCCTGTCATTTTGACCATTGTAATATTATAAATGTTAAACTCTTTTTAAATTCACAATATTATCCTTATGGAAATTTAAATCTAAACTTTGATCAAAATCAGTACTCTCTACTTTATGAAATGTACGCTAATTTTCAATCATCCTATTATGGTAAAGATTTAAAACCTATTTTAACAAAGGATATTTTTAAAAGTCTATTTCCTCTAATTGTTATTGATTGTTCTAAGCAAAACGAGTTTTTAAAACAAGCATCAGTTGATGTGAGGTTAGAATTTGAAGCAGGAATCAACATGCCAGCCGAGACCACCGCCTATTGCTTAATAATCCATGACCGCGTCATACAATATAAGCCAATCAGCGGCGTTGTAAAGAAACTATTGTAAAGGAGTGGGGATAATGTGGTAGTGGTGGGGGTGATTACTATAAAAGCAGCTGCTCTCGGCTAGAAATTTATTTCTGCTTCAAAATGGAGTTTATCGTAGACGTTCAAGGTTTTAAAAGAGCCAACAACGAGTTTGTCTTTAAAGAGTTGGCGATACTTCCTCTTCAACCAGATGCACAGCCTCTCGTCTACCTTTTTGAATCTCCTTGTCCTTGGAATTCACTGCCAGGACGCTGCAAAAGTGAAAATCTTTGGCTAACACATAATTACCGATTCTCATACGATGAACTTCGACCAATTCTACAAGATATACTTCGAAGTACAAGTGTAATTTACGTTAAAGGTTTAGAACAAAAGAATTGGCTAGAAAAATATTTACTCAACGTACAAAACTTGGAAGATTTTAATTGTCCATCGTTAAAAAAAATTAAGTCTGATTTGTTAACAACGTGTACGCATCATACTTTTTGTAGTGAAAATTGTGCTGTAAAAAATGTTAAAATTCTACGCGATTGGTTTTTGGAACCTCCAAACCAATATATAAGTGCTATTTCTAATGGAATTGATGAAGTTGACTCTACTTTAAAATCTTTTTATGAAAATTGTGAATCTTTTTTGTAAATATAGTTATAAAGTTTTCAAAATAAATGTTATTAATTAAAAATTTAAAACAATGCTTCTTAATTTTAAAAACAACCTATCCTTTAAAATTTAATTGAAATTCTTTTATAATTTCTAAAAATAAAACTTATTCTAATTCTGAAAAATAACTTATACTAAGAGAAGGAAAGTAAATTTAAAACTAATTTATAGGTAAAACTTTGTGTGTTTATTTTATCAAAATTTTTTAAAATATATATATATACATTTTCTTTTTACAATTTATTGTAACAATTTAAATTCAACAACATTATATGGTCCTCCAAGATACTTTATTTGAAGTTTCTTCGAGATCGCAGCTTCTTTCATTATGTCCAAGGTGGTGGCTTCATCCTCAAAGAGCTTGATGAATCTTGTTGGTAAGTATGTGACGAAATCAGCATCAATCTCAACTATGATCCTAGGTCCATATTTGGTCTGGATCTTTTTCATTTTTGAGACGTAGTACAGTCCATCTTTCATCAATTCCGCGAGCGGCTTCGTCGTCAGGTAACCTTCAAAACGCCCAACGGAGTTGACTTTTTCTAGATCCATTTTTTTTCTAATTTGGAAGAAAACCTTAAACAAAAGAAGAGAAAACAAAGAACTGTAATAAAAAAATTATTAGTTTTTAAAACTAACTTAGAAAATATAGCTGAAAAAGAAACTTTGAAAATATAGCTGAAAAAGAACTTAGAAAATAAAGCTGAAAAAGGAAAAAAAATGGAAATAAAGCTGAAAAAATTAGAAATAAACCTGAAATGTAAACAAAAAAAACCTGAAAATAAAGCTGAAAAACTTAGAAATATACCTGAAATTATAACTTAGAAAGAAGCTGAAAAGAAATGGTAAAATGGATAACTTATTATACTTACTGCTAATTCTAGAACCTGAAATAAGAATGATCTTATCGCTTTGAAACTCGTCTTATATAACTGCAACCCCACTTTTATCTCTAACCCCACCATATTTTCGAATGCGCACGCATATTATCCCCACTACACACTGCGCACGCAGAAATAACCCCACCTATATGCGCTAAAATTAAGGAAAATAAAATAAATGCGTAAATTAAAAAAATATTCTTACTTTATTTTAAATAAAATCTATTATGATGATGATGATGATGATGATGATGATGATCATCATAATAGTTGTCGGTGTATTCATCAAAAATGTGAATTTCTGCATCATCAGCAGCAACTTCTTCCATACTTTGATTGGGTTTTATTGGATCCATTTTTATTATTATTTTCTAAAAATTATTGAAGTAAATGAAATTAAAAATGAGGATAAAGAAGATAAATAAAAAGAATAGAAAGAAAATGAATTAAGTAGTAGTAAAAGAAGAAGAAATTTGGAAACTAGAAAAGAGAAATAAAAATCAGAAAAAAAGTGAAATAGCTAAAAAATCAAATTAAAAGAATTAACTAAAACAAAAGGAAAACGAAAATTGAAATTAAAAAGAAGTTACCGGAAAAAAAGAGAAATTACTATAAAAGAAACAAAAGAATCGAATTTGAAAAATATATTTGGAAAAGAAAAAAGTCAGAAAAATAAGAAAAGTAAAACTGAGATAAAAGAGTGAAATAGCTGAAAAATCGAATTAAAGAAGTAACTAAAGAAATTACTAGAAAAAAGAGAGATTGAAAATAATCCCTAAAAAGAGATTTTAAAACTAAAATATACAAGAAATAGAAATAACCACAGAAAAGAAAAATAATTCCTGGAAAAAGAGAAGATAAATTAAAACCTAAATAAACGTGAAATAACTATACAGAGAAATGAAATAAAGAGAAATAAAAACTAGAAAAAATCAGAAAAATAAAATGAAATAATTGCTAATAATCTAAAAGATAGAAAATAACTGTGAGAAAGTTATTAGTTGGAGGAGAGAAAATATTTGTAAGAAAAAAGACCTAGAGGAAAAGACATGGAAGAGAAAAAGACCTAGAGAGGAGAGAAGACCTGTAAGGAAGAGAAACCTACGGCGATGTAAGCTGAAAGAAGAATGAGTGTGGTGGCTGACGCACTGCACTCACTCACCGTTGTAATCCCCACTATGCATCGCTACAGTAGTGAAAGCAGCATCTCCATGCGGCGGTTCTCCGTAACTAATATTTGTATTGGCGCGAACTTTAAATGAAGGAGGTGCTAAAACAAAGCATTAAATGCCAACATGACACTTCAACTTTAAGAGTCAAATATCAATAATTAATATCAGTTTATTGATAATAAAAAGTCGTTTGTAATTATCATAAAGTTTAACTAAAAAGAATTTTTTTACTGATTTAACGATATATTGCACAAAAATGATCTATAACGTCAAATTTGGTGCAATTCTAACCCACGAGAAATTGGCGTTTAATGCTTTGTTTTAGCGCACTCTTCAAATATTATTTACATAATCTCGATTGAACTGGATTCTTCTAAATTTAATACATAAAAATGTAATTATTTATTTGGAAATCCCATTTTTACAAATTTTTAGTAATTATACACTAAGTCGAAAGCTACTTATTAAAATAAATTTCCAAGTATAAATTATTGAACATGTAAATTATAATACTAAGAAAAAAATTTTAAGTTAATTTTTTATTCTATAATTAATTAATTGTTAAAAACATGATTTTATTAAAATTCTGATCTATAATTTGAAGGTTAAAAATGTTCTTAATTTAAAATTATTAAGCAGAATAAGTATATTGGCTTAAAATATTTAATTTTTGTAATAGAAATATAGACGTTTCAGTTATTAATATAATAATTTCTTATGTAAGTTTAGGAGAAAAGAATGATTAATCAATGAAGAAAATTGTTCAGAAAATGTTACACATTTGTGTTTATTTCATACATACATATATTATGCAGTGTTTTTTTGTATGTATAACAGTAGTTTTTTTCACATTTGTGTATTAAAAAAATACAATTTTTTTCTTTTCACTATCATAATAAAGACATTTATGAAACCGACAAAATGCTTTTATATTTTTGATCGTTATACATATCTTTTAAATTTTACATTAATTACATTAATAATAATATCATGTATTTTGTATCACAGTGATGTTGTATAAATGTTTTTTTAAAAGAAAAAGAAAAAGTCAAAATTTGTATTTAAGATAATAAAATAAAATGTCACGTTTGAAAATAAACATTTATACAACATCACCATACTTTTTGGTTTTTCAACACCATAATACTTTTTCAACTCTTCAACTCTTCGATTATATAAAATCATCACACGGAACATAATACATTGGTTCATACTGTGAAATATCACGAAATTGCGATTAAATAAAGTAATCACACGGAACATAATACATTGGTTCATACTGTGAAATATCACGAAATTGCGATTAAATAAAGTAATCACATGGAACATAATACATTGGTTCATACTGTGAAATATCACGAAATTGCGATTAAATAAAGTAATCACATGGAACATTATACCGTGTAGATATCATGAAATTGTGATTAAATGAAAAAATCACATAATAAGCAGTGATATAAATGCTATTAAGAAAAAAAAAGATAAATGCTATTAAATAAAAATTCAACAACATTAGACTAAGAACACGTTTCACTGTCTTAAAAAATAAAATAGAGCTTTCTTATCAAATTCAAAATCACATAACATCATGTGAGATCAAATAATGTTCTAAAGTGATGTAGACATGTAAACTAAAAAAAACGAACAAAAAACGAATAAAAACACTTCTGAAAACATTTCACTTTCTTTTCTTTTGCTTTAAGTGATGTAGACATGTAAACTAAAAAAACGAACAAAAAACGAATAAAAACACTTCTGAAAACATTTCACTTTCTTTTCTGTTGCTTTTCTTCCATATCCTTCTTATTCTTCTTCTATTTCTTCTTACTTGTCACTTCTTTTGTAGGCCTTGTAGGTTTCCTGACACAAGGATCATTTATATCATCACAAATAGTGTTTTTAGAAGTTGAAGGAGTAGGTTTTAATTTTTCACTCACAATGTTTGCAGTTAATTTCATGGCCTTTCGTGGAGACTTATGAAGTTTCATTGCTTCCGAACGTGGGTCATAATTTTTTTTCAGACTGTCAATTTGTTCCACGTTCGGAAGCAATGAATTGTTTTTTGACACATCTTTTTTTTCAGGAGATGATGGTGAGTCTGAAGATGAGTCGGAAGAAGACTCAGAAGAAGAGTCGGATGAGGTAGATAATTTTGATGATGCTTTTTCAAGTTCCTCTTTTGGTGTTGGCACATAAGTTTCACTTGGAGTATACTGTTCCACTGATTGTGAAGTTGAGGGTAGAGATTTCTCCCATCTACTTACTCTCTTTTTTTGCTGAGGTTTTACATAATTTCCAATTTCTAGTCCATGTTGCGTAGATGACCCAGGCTGTTCAACAGTTGCAGTTTGTTCAGAAGGTTTTGGAGGAGGTCCAGTTTGTGCAGAAGGTTCCAGTTGTGTAGAAGGTCCTGGTTGTGGGGGGGTTCCAGTTGTGCAGAAGCTTCTGCTTTTGAAGAAGGTTGTAGTTGCGCAGAAGGTTGAGACTGTACTTCACGTCGAACGTAAGGTCCACGTCGAATGTAAGGTCTACGATTCGAAGTGTCTATATTTCCAAATTGTCTATTTTGAACTGAAGGTGCAGAATTCCCAGATGGTGTTAAACAGTTGGATGAAAAATAACCAGGGTGTGCTGGTAGTTGTGGAAGTATAGGCGGTCTAGGATGTACAGGTTGCCCATGTTGAACTTGAGGTGTATTTTGTGGTAAGGAACCACCATATAAAAACGATCCCAGTTGTGGAGATGGCCTACCTTGCACAATAGCTTGTGATTGTATGAAATGTGTGGAATACCTAGGTTGTATAGATTGTCTATGAAAGGAACTTTGAAAAGATCCTGATCGTACCTATAAAGAAAAAAAAATGTCACAAAATTTAAGAAAAACTAAAAAATATATAAAGGGAGAGACAATTAAAATAATTGTAGGTTAAATAAGACTCCTTTATGATTATTTTAACATAGAATAAAACTAAACTCAAAATATTTGTTTTAACATAGAATAAAACTAAACTCAAAATATTTATTTTAACATAGAATAAAACTAAACTCAAAATATTTATTTTAACATAGAATAAAACTAAACTCAAAATATTTATTTTAACATAGAATAAAACTAAACTCAAAATATTTATTTAAAAATAGAATAAAACTATTAAATAAAATTTAACTTGATTTATTTTAGTTTAAGTTAAAAAATTCTATTACATAATATAAACGTAAAATTTAATATATACCTCACGCATTTGATTTTCATGGTTATATCTTTCATAATTTGTCCTCCAAAACTCGCAAGGAAAATCGACAATTCTTCCATTAAATTTTAAGTATTTGCAGAAACAGCAATTGCACGTGTTCTGCGGTTGATTTTCCTTATTCGGATGACTCTATAAATTTTGAGAGATTTTCAATTATAATTTTAATATTTTTTAAAAAAAGGAATTAAACACTTTTAAAAAATAAATTTTTAAAAAGATACTTACCATTTTTATTTATTTTCCTCGAATTTCAGAGCAGCATGTTTTTTTTACATCTGAACACATCAACCATCAATTTTGTTAAAGAAAGAGTTCACATCAACAGTAATCACAGACTATTTTCTCAGTCTATAAACTCCAGTGGTGGGGGGGTCACTCATGATACAGACAAAGATAATTCCATTATAGTGGTGGCGCACCAATCGAAAAGCATATGATTAGTAATCAGACTATTTTCTAAGTTTATAAACTCCAGTGGTGGGGGGTCACTCATGGTACGGATAAAGATAGTGGTGGCGCGCCAATCGAAAAGCTTATGATTTTAAGTATTAATCACATGTTATCACTCATGCAATAATAGTTTGTCTGAAAATTCAGAAGATGCATTTAAACAAAATCAGGAAGTTTTAATAATATGTTTAAAACAAAAAATTTGTTTATATAAATGTAAACAAGTTTTTTTTTACTTTAAATAATATATTTTTATTAAAAGTTATTAACTAGAGTTAGTGCTTAAATATTCACAAGGGAATTAAGTCAAATAGGTTGAAAGCCACTTTAAATTAAATGCTTAACTACAGTGGTGCAATCTATTGACAGAGTTGTGAATACAATTAAGCGACAGCATTAACCCTCCATCCGTCGCATGGTGAGAATTTCCCTCACCCAGTTTCTTTTTTTATTTATAACTTTTAAAATACAAAAAATTATAATTTCATATTCTCAGTACCTTTTACGGCACTCTTCTTCTTTACATTAAAACAATTTTGGTGTTTTTTCATATTTTAATTTCTTTGTTATTGAATTTGAAAGCAGCAAATGTCGGGGATTTTTGACGCGAAGTGAGGGAACTTCTCACCATGCGACTGACCGCGTATACTCGATTTCATTTGTCATTAATTTTTTATTTAAATAATTAACAGGAAATAAAAGTTAATTTTACTGTCAATAGGTTGTTTAGAAATTCTAATGAACATTCAAAAAAAATTTGGCATTTTAGAACAAGTTTGGACTAATTTATGAGGGTGAGAATTTCCCTCACGCAGGAAATTTAGAGAAATGTTTCACATTCTCAAAGTTCAAAAATCTGTAAATAAGCAAACTGACATAAACAATTTGAATCAAGTTTATCATTCGTTAATTCTAAACACTAATTAAAAATTTTTCAAATTATTCAAATTGTCTTTTTTCTTTAATTAATTAAATTTTCTTTATTTTCTTTATTTTCTTTTTTGAAATTATCGATTAAGCAGTTTTCTTTATTATCATACTCCAAATCTGCTTTATCTTCTTATGGTTTTTTTTAAAAAACTTTTTTATACGTTAAAGAGCAAGTATGCTCACACGTTTTTCAAATTATTTAACACTTTTTTATTTTCTAATCAAGAACATAATGTTCTTGGTTAGTTTGTTATTTTTTACAAAAAATATTTATTAAAAATGGAGTTTTTTCACATAAAGTTTTTTGTTTTCATTTTTTGAAGAGACCTCTTGGTAAGTTTTTGGTTATGTTATTTACAAAGTTTTGTGTTTTTTAAAAAAGCTTTTTAGAGATGTAAAAGAAAAAGTTTTTAATTAGAAATTACATGTATTTCAGTTTTTGAATATCTGAGGATGCCCTGTTAGTTCTGTATTTTTCACTTGTCAGGCCAATCCTTGAGTTTGCCTCCACACTTTGGAGACCTTTTCAAGATTGTTTTATAACGGATATTGAGCGTGTGCAAAACAGATTTTTGAGATTCGTGGCTAGACAAGTGAATATTCCGTTTGATTACTATAGCCATGATTACACAGGTTTAAGAGCACAGCTTGGTATTTCTTTGTTATCACAAAGATTTTTATATGCAGACATGTTATTTTTGTTTAAAATTATCAATGGCTTAATCAATTGTCCGGATTTACTTTGTCTCTTTAATTTATATGTACTACGTAGATCTTTGAGACATCAGCAATTGTTTAATATTCAATTGTCTTGAACTAGATATCTTGATAATTCGGTGGTTAATAGATTGCGAATGGAGGCAAATGAACTTAGTAGTTTAGTTGATTTTTTTGGAATATCATTAAGTACATTTGTAACCAACTTGCGTTCCCATGTATATGTATATGATAACAATAACAATAGCAATGTTAATGCGGCCAAATAAATATATGTATTATTCTTAGTATTTTTTATAGTACTTTTGTACGAATGGGCATTGCCCGTATATTTCTGAATAAATAAATAAATAAAAATGATTTTTTTAAACAAAAAAATGTAAAAAAATTTAATTTTTTCATCACCCATACTTTGCTTAACTTTTCCCACACTTTGCAAAAAAAGAAATTTTTTTAAACTGAAACATTCAAATAAGATTAATTTTCCCCGTCACCCATACTTTGACAGACTGTTCCCATAGTTTCAAAAATTAAATATTTTTTTTTAAAAACTGTAAAATTATGATAAAAAATAATATTTCCTGCCGCCCATACTTTCAAAAATAAAAATTTTATTAAAAAAAAGCTAAAAAATTTATTAAAAATTAATTTTTTTAAAACCTTGTCAAATTTTAAAAAATTTATTTTTTCCCTTCGCCTATATTTTGACAATCTCTCTCCACACTTTGCAAAATGAATTTTTTTAAAAAACAGAAAAATTTAATTAAAATTAATTTTTTTATTACTTATCCTTTAATATACTTATCCTAAAGTTTGCAAAATGAACAGATTTTTAAAAAAAAACTAAAAAATTTAAATAAGGTTAATTTTTTCTGTCATTCATACTTTCCCATACTTTTCCCATACTTTGACAATTTTTTCTCATTTTTATAAAAAATGTACAATTATATTTTAAATTTGAATTTAACAATTAATATTTTATTTTGTTACCTTTATTTTGCTCTGCTTGGTCTGATTCTCTCTTTGCAATATTTTTTTTGTTTTTCTATTTCAGTAATATTTTTTCACGCGCTCGACAACTTTTTGGGTTATAATTTTTTGGATAGATAATAACATTCATTTTTTGTTATTTATTCTTTGATGATATAGATTTACTCTTTAGAATCGTTAAAATGACTCGAAATGGAGTGTGAAAATGATGATTGTCGAGTGTTTTCATTTTTCTGGTGTTATTTTTGTTGCTCCTCATTTTGACACCTATAAATGGAGTTAAAGTGATACCCCCTGTTTAAATGCTTAAGCAGTTCCACAAACGGTATTAACCAGAGTTTAAGATATTTTGTGAAGGCTCTAACAAATGCATTTTAATATTAAATTTTTTTTTCAAGAAGTTAATAATTTTCCCGAATCAATCTACACAAATAAATTAAATATCTTAAATAAATCTTGATAAGATCATGGGCTTCATATGTATCTACAGCACAGCTGCCCTAATACCCACGACCTTTCTTTTGCCGGTAGACTGCTCTGACCACTGAGCTACATATTAAATACTTTTAGTATTAATACATATTAAATGCATTTTAATTTTTTTGGTCTACATGATTCTTTTGCAAAATGCAGCCTACCAGAAAACAAGTTTTTTGGAATCACCTGAGGTGATTCATATTCAGTAGCTCAATTCTCAATATTTTGTCATGAAAATTTGGAAAAATATTGTGCAAATGTTGCAGGTATTATATAAAAATTGATAAAATAATTTAATTCTCTCTAGGGTAAGTGTACCAATTGCCGAGGGTGTTCCATTTGTCGATGTTACCATGGTAATAACCAAAAAATATTGTCTAAAATCCACATTTGTTTGTGGATATAATATTAATATATTTTTTTCACATTTATAATGCATAAGAAAATTAATATTTATCACTTTTTTCCATTTACAATGTGCTACAATGTTTAAATAAAATTCAAAGTTTGTTTACTCGACAACAGGAACCATCCTCGACAATTGGTACGTTTACCCTATGTCGACAAAAAAAGTTCTTAAAAATATACATTTTTTAACCAATTAACTTTACTCTCCCCTTAAATATTCATATGAAGGTATCAAATAATAATATAGATTTTATTTCAGTGTATTTTTAATAAAAATTATAATATCCTATGTATAAAAATACTTTAAATATAACACACTGATGTTAACTCAACAGTTTTTTGAGATTATAATATTAGTAGTAATTGACGAATTTGTCAATAGTGAGGGACGACACAGTAATTAAAAAGACGATTAAGAGGCTAACCATCTTCCCTTGACGAAATGGACGGTTGCTTCTAGAACGAGGTATGCAAGATAACTGTGGACCTTCTGTTAAAGCGAGTAGAAGGACTTTAATTTAACTGCCTCAGACATATTAAGGATACTAACTCAGGACCGTGTGCGCGTTGAGTGTTAACAGGGTGAGCTTACCTAAACCTGTCTCCTCGCCATCTTATGAAATTCTAGATCAACCCCTTTGGCCCCTTTCCTCGTCGAGATATCTAGCTGACATTTCAGTAAAATGAAGAAAACGACGAAAACCAGAATAAAGAAAATGAGCTTTAGTCTCTCGGCTCCATTTTTTACGTTAGCTTTTTTACTTCTGACAATTTTTATCCCAGAGAGAAAATATATATACTCTCAAGACATATATAAACTTCTTGGCGAGAACTTCCCTCATTTCTTATAATCTATCAGCAAATAAATTTTATTCCAAAAAATAGAAGTAGCCTGTTTATTAAACATTAAACATATTGCAAAACTTTTTAATAAAATAAAATGATAACAAAGTTATATAATTTAAAAATTTATGTTATTAAATTTTTTTGATAGTTTAATCCTATAAAGAAAAAAATGCCTGCATGATTATTATTGGGTAAACTTCTATTTTTATTGTAGCAGTTTGGTTATTTTGTTTTAATTTATTTAAGAAAATTGATTGCTCTATGATCTATTATTCAAGGAGAATATTGGTTTTTAATTTAGATCCTAAATATTTCTGAAATATAAACGTGAAAAGAAAATATTCGTTTTATTCAAATACCTTAATGCAAGTCGAATTTCGTTTCTGTTTCAATGTTTTAAAAGTTGAAACATAATTACAAATGGATTTTTCTGTATCCCTTTGCCGAAAGTACTGTCTTCCCGGTCTGATTTGGCTCCGGGAATAGCGACTTTTGTGTCCGGCTCGACAGACCCAACGAGCGCTCTGATTGGTTACAAGAATTTCAACACACGTACATGTTAGCATAGCAACCACACAGACACGTTACTTACAGAGCTCACGTTTTGAAAACAACTGACAGTCATCAAAATAATGCATGAAATTTCTTATTTTCTTTTATTATTTTTTAATTATTAAATATTTATTTGTAAAAGAAAATTTCTTGTTTACTATTTTTTAAATTT